GCATTCTATTCCGTTCCATCGTCTGACGGGATCTGAGAAGTCTCACTTGCAAGAAGAAGCTGAACCTGAGTATCCAGAACTGCAGTATCGATAGATAGTCTGGTGTGTGAAAGAGGAAGAGAGAAAGCCCGAACGGTGCTACTTAAGGATATGTAGATAACTTTGGTATAGAAATTGATACCGACCTCTATGTTAGAAGAGACTAAAATGTCTGTAGATACTGAAGAATAGTATCTTGAGCCTTGTAAATCTATATTCGTCATCAGCCTTATTTTTAACTCCGCCATGTACCCCTGTTCCTAATCCGGCATAGCCGCTTACAGGTGTCTCGAAGGGACTTATGCTATAATATTAACTCATGTGTTCCTTCTAAAATACTGTACATAGCGAATCTCTCCAGAGGCAAGTGTTATTGCAGTTCGCCTTTCGATCTACCTCTCAGTATTGTTGGCCGATGTGCTACGGTCATGCCTCCAAGGACGCGCGGTGGTACTAAGCCAAAGGATACCCCACAACATGATAAGGATAACTTTGGTGGCGAAACGATAGAAACGGGAGAAAAGGTGCGCAAGCTCCGAAGGACAAAAGACAAGGGACGCAAACCCGATGCCAATAGTGGGAGGACTGTTGGAAACCGGGAAATCGATACTTCCATGCTAGACGCAGAACATATCGAAATTGGAAGCAATATTTCAACATTGACCGAGGAAGATGCGCAAGCGGCTGCCGATAGCTGCACGAAGATATGCGAAACCATTTATGTTGGTGGTCGCCAAGACCGTAGCCCCAGTTCCCCAACAAGGGAGGCTGAAAGCATTCATGTAGCTGGTTACGAAGTTGATGCGAATCCCCTCTTGGACGAAAATGGAATGGCGGATCCAGAGCTTGATCCTGCTATGCTGGATACTCAGAATGGAGAGTCTGTTAGCAACGATCAGGTTGCCGACACCATGGAAGGAGTAGAGCACGGAGCAGTAGAGGCTAACCCTCTAATGGGTAGGGCTGGGTCAAACAACCATACGGAAGGAGAGTCCTCGGTTCAAAAGACAATTGCGGGCACTGCAAAGGTGGTGGAACAAATTGAAGCGACTGCATCTACCGGGACGGGCCCTGAGGCAGGGAATATTAGCCTGCCCGATCCTTACGATGAACTAGATCAACAAGAAATGGGAGTGCATCTTAAAAATGGTATCCTCGATAACGGGAATAGAAACTGCTCGACACAGAGAGATCAGACCTTTGCGGCCAAAGCCACTAATCAAGAAAGTTACATGAATCAAACGGGATTAGGACAAGATGGGGTCGAAGCTCATACACCGCCAGAAACGGATGGGACGCATTTTGTCAAGACGAGTAATCTTAAGACGAAAAATATAGACAGTCTTTCAGGGGGCATGGCGGTCACCTTTACCAGCATAAACCGAGTTGTCGACACTCCATTCGGCTTCTTGACCACTGCGGAAGGTATAACCAATCCATTTTCAAATACCAAGATTACTACGGCTATTCAGATGACAATGGAGAAAGAGACAGATCACAACAATATGCATGGGGAAGGTAAAAATTACCCTATACGTGATGAAGATGTGACAATACCTGATATACATGGGGGAGATAGGAGGGGAAAGAGGTTAAGAGAAACGTCTACCAATGAGTCTAGGACCAAACCAAAGACCGGAGAGGAAGTCCCGACAAGAAAAAGACGTCGAGTTGAGGAAAACCTTCCAGAGCCAAAAGGACAACGACCAGGTACGTTTAGGAGCAAATTATAAAATTCTAAGCATTATACCGAGGGAGGACGAGTTGATTATAAACTGCCTGATTCAGAAATAAGAAGGGTCATAATGCTAACCTAGAAGTAGAAGAACTCAGTGTTCCAATAAATGCGAATGATGAACGAAATACAGCCGAACTTGATGGCATCGGAGTTTTGTGTAGTGTGAATCCCAGCACTCGCAAAGTTGAAACGGATAAACAAAACAGTGATACGCATGTGCAGGAAGTCAGAAGCGACGGTGAGGTGGAGATGGCCATTTCTGAAGGAAAAAAGAATAATGGGCAGAGTACCACGGAACCGCATGCTATGGAAAATTCGGGTACCGTGGAATCTGCTTCCCTCAAAGCTGATACCGACAGACGAAACAGTGACAGCGATATGCATGAGGTGGGAAGGGACCCTGACGTGGACATGGCCTGTCCCGCAGAGGCAGCGGATGATGAGCCAAGGGAGCCTGGATTAGATGGCATGGAGAGTTCGGGTGAGGTGAATCCCCGCTCCTGCGAAGTTGAAACGGGTAAACCAATCAGTGATATCAATATGCAAGAGGTGAGAGGCGATAGTGAAGTGGGCAGGGCCTTTCCTGAAGAAAAAAGTAATAATGGGCAAAGTAACACGGAACTACAAGATATGGAAAGTTCGGGTAGCGTGGATTATCCATCCAGCGCAACTGTGACGAATAAGCAAAACTGCGATACCAATATGCCTGAGGTGGGGAGTGACATTGAGATGGGGAGTGAAGAAATGGGGGGTGACACTGAGGCGTACACGGCTATTTCTGGGGAAAAAACGAATGATGAGCAGACGAACCCCGAACTCGGTAGTGTGGAAAGCAGCGGTAGCGTGGACAACGCTTCCCTGAATACTGATACAGAAAGACAAAACAGGGACAGCGATATGCATGAGGAGCAGAGAAAAGCTGAGAAACTTGTCGGTGACGTGGACTCCCCTTTGCGAAGTACAACGAAGAAAAACGGCCCAACTAGTGTCCATATTGATGCCGCGCAAAGTCATCAGAGTGAGCAAATGGGGAACTCAAACGAGCCAGAAGCACCACTGAAGCAGAAAGAGAATTTCATGAATTTTGCAAGAATAAGCCGGGAGGACAACTTGCGACGTATGGAGCTAGAGCGATACTCTGTGGCAAGGCTGGAGATGAAGCATGCCAAACTTCTTATTGATATGATCGATAGTCTTTTCAACCGCAAGGCTGACATGTATTACCTCCTTGCCTTCAAAATGGTCTTGCTCATCTTCCCCTATACAGCGTGGGAGCATGTTCGAGACAGGTTACCTGCTATGATGAGCTACGCGACTGAGGATATCAAAACGGGCTTGGAGAAGCGGGTGGCGGACGAAGTCTATACAGAATATCCTTCTGATAAAGGAGTTGATGAACGCATTATATGCTGGAACCAAAGGCTGGAACTTTACAAGGGTATCGAGCATGGAACGAAGACATTACTTGAGCCTACATCTCGAAGCGTTAGAACATGTGTGGGACGTCGGCCATCGGAATCCTCTTCTCTTCAAGCAGAGATCCAAGAAATGGCTGGCGACCTAAATCATTGCCAAAAATTCCAGGACTACTTTTCCCGTTACGCATCGCGGGCCGCTTTTATATTTCAAAATCCACAGCTTCTCCGTGATGAGATCCGGTTCGTGGTCTCTATACTGCGTCAACTGATGTTGAGAGAAAATGAAAGTTCAGAAGCTATGTTCCGTGAGTTGGAGGCTGTAGCAAGTGATATAGCCACCGCAAGGGAGATTGGAGTCACTGAAGCTACCGTGAGACAGGATGTAGTGACGGG